GGAGTCTGAGATCTGAATAGGCCCAGATCTGGTCACATGGTCAGAACTCCTATCCACAACACAGAGCCATGCAGCCTCTGCTGAGAAATCCTCTGAGAAAGAGGTTCGAAGGGACTCTAATATCATTATTATTATTATAAATACCCTGTTTTCGCTCTCTAGGCAGTCTAGAGTGAGAAAGACTCCCCCCAGAGCCGCCCAGTTCAATATCAGACACGAAGGCAACATCAAAGCCCTCCCGACAGAGGGCCATGCAGCCTCTACTGAGAAACCTCCAAAGAAGGAGCCTCCAATGAACTATTATTATAATTATGTTTATTTATACCTTGCTTTCTTTCCCTATATGACAATAGAGTTAGACTCCACTCCGAACTGGGTAGGAAGGCACCGTCCGAGCCCTCCCGGCAGATGGCCATGCAGCCGCTACTGAGATACCTCCAAAGGAGCCTCCAATACACTATTATTATTATTATTATTATTATTATTATTATTATTATTATTATTATTATGTTTATACCCTGCTTTCCATGTCTAGGCAGTCTATATGACACTAGGGTTAGACTCCACCCCGAACTAGGTAAGAAGGCACCATCTGAGCCCTCCTGGCAGATGGCCTTGCAGCCTCTACTGAGATACCTCCAAAGATGTCTCCAATAGACTATTAATATTATTATAATTATGTTTGTTTGTTTATACCCTGCTTTCCCTCTCTAGGCAGCCTATATGACACTAGAGTTAGACTCCACTCTGAGTCAGGCAGGAAGACACCATCAAAGCCCTCCAGACAGATGGCCATGCAACCTCTACTGAGATACCTCCAAAGGAGTCTCCAATATACTATCAATATTATTATTATTATTATTATTATTATTATTATTATGTTTGTTTATACCCTATGACTCCACCCCGAACTGGGTAGGAAGGAACCATCTGAGCCCTCCTGGCAGATGGCCATACAGCCGCTACTGAGATACCTCCAAAGGAGCCTCCAATACACTATTATTATTATTATTATTATTATTATTATTATTATTATTATTATGTTCATACCCTGCTTTCCCTCTCTAGGCAGTCTATATGACAGTAGAGTTAGATTCCACTCCGAGCCAGGCAGGAAGACACCATCAAAGCCCTCCCGACAGATGGCCATGCACCCTCTAGTGATAAAAGAAGGAGCCTCCAATTGACTATTATTATTATTATGTTTATACCCTGCTTTCCCTCTCTTGGAAGTCCATATGACACTAAAGTTACTGCACTCTGAATCAGGCACGAGGACACCAGGAAAGCCCTCCTGACAGATGGCCATGCAGCCTCTACAGAGAAACCTCCAAAGGAGCCTCCAATAGACTATTATTAATTATTATTATTATTATTAGTGTATGGAGGCTCTCTAGGCAGTCCATAGGGCACCCAAGTGAGGCAGGAAGACACCATCAAAGCCCTCCCGACAGATGGCCATGCAGCCTCTACTAAGAAACCTCCAAAGGAGCCTGCAATAGACTCCTATTATAATTATGTTTGTTTATACCCTGCTTTCCCTCTCTACACAGTCTATATGACATTGGAGTTAGACTCCCACCTGAGCCAGGTAGAAAGACACCATCAAAGCCCTCCCGACAGATGGCCATGCAGCCTCTACTAAGAAACCTCCAAAGGAGTCTCCAATAGACTATTAATAATAATAATAATAATGATAATAATAATAATAATAGGTTCTTGTGGGTTTTTTCGGGCTAATAATAATAAGTCTATTGGAGGCTCTCTAGGCAGTCCATATGACATCCGAGTCAAGCAGGAAGACGCCATCAAAGCCCTCCCGACAGATGGCCATGCAGCCTCTACTGATAAACCTCCAAAGAAGGAGACTCCAATGGACTCTTATTATTATAATTACGTTTATTTATTTATACCCCACTTTCCATCTCTATGCAATCTATATGACACTAGAATTAGACTCCAAGCCGAACTAGGTATGAAGGCACCATGCGAGCCCTCCCAGCAGATGGCCATGCAGCCTCTACTGAGAAACCTCCAGAGAATGAGCCTTCATTAGATTATTATTATTATTATATTTGTTTATACCCTGCTTTCCCTCTCTAGGCAGTCCATATGACACTAGAGTAAGACTCCACCTGAGCCAGGCAGGAAGACACCATCAAAGCCCTCCTGACAGATGGCCATGCAGCCTCTACTGAGAAACCTCCAAAGAAGGAGCCTCCAATAGACTCCTATTATTATAATTATGTTTGTTTATATCCTGCTTTCCCTCTCTAGGCAGTCTATATGAGAATAGAGTTAGATTCCACCCAGGCCCGTAGCCAGGATTTCGTTTCGGGGGGGGGCTAAAAAATTCAGGGGGGGTTTCGGGGGGGCTGAGTTTCGGGGGGGGGCTGAGTCTGAGTGAAAGAGGGTCTAGCCTAGCAAACCTTTTGTATCATTACCCCCATACCCCCATGCATATGGGATATATTGAGTATGGTGATCAGATCATGATATGAATAAACATAACAGTTTAAATAATGCACCAGTAAGGCCTTTTCGCGAACCACCATGAGAATTTCGGGGGGGCTGAAGGCCCCCCCCCCCCCGGCTACATGCCTGATTCCACCTGAGCCAGGCAGGAAGACACCATCAAAGCCCTCCCGACAGACGGCCATGCAGCCTCTACTAAGAAACCTCCAAAGAAAGAGCCTCCATTAGATTATTATTATTATTATATTTGTTCATACCCTGCTTTCCCTCTCTAGACAGTCCATATGAGACTAGAGTTAGATTCCACTCCGAGTCAGGCAGGAAGACACCATCAAAGCCCTCCCAGCAGATGGCCATGCAGCCTCTACTAAGAAACCTCCAAAGAAGGAGCTTGAAATAGACTCCTATTATAATTATTTATTTATTTATTTATTTATTTGGTACACTTGTATACCGCTAATTTCTCAGCCTAGAACGGCGACTCAATTGCGGTTTACAGCATTTTAAAAACAATCTCAGTTTAAAAACATATACAAATACAATACAAATTATTGGGCCACCAATAATAATCCCATATATCTCGAATTAAAATCATAATCCAGAATTCGTTGTCCATGTTTCCTGTCCTTAGTCATCAAAATTCGAATTGCCACAGATTAGCCGAATGCTTGTTTGAATAACCATGTTTTGAGTCTCTTCCTAAACACCATCAGCGAAGAGGCTGATCGTACCTCTATAGGGAGGGCGTTCCAAAGCCGAGGGGCCACCACAGAGAAGGCCCTGTCTCTCGTTCCCGCCAGCCGCACTTCTGAAGCTGGAGGGATAGAGAGAAGGGACTCTCCAGAAGATCTTAGGGTCCTGGTGGGCTGATAGGCTGAGATACGTTCAGATAGATAAGTTGGGCCAGAACCGTTTAGGGCTTTAAAGGCCAACGCCAGCACTTTGAATTGAGCCCGGTAGCATATCGGCAGCCAGTGGAGCTGGTTCAGCAAGGGAGTTGTATGCTCCCTGCGCCCCGCTCCTGTTAGAATCATGGCTGCCGCCCGTTGGACTAACTGGAGCTTCCGGACTGTCTTCAAAGGCAACCCCACGTAGAGAGCGTTGCAGTAATCAAGGCGGGATGTAACCAGAGCGTGGACTACCGTGGCTAAGTCAGACTTCCCAAGGTACGGTCGCAGTTGGCGCACAAGTTTTAACTGTGCGAATGCTCCCCTGGTCACCGCCGAAACCTGGGGTTCCAGGCTCAGCGATGAGTCCAGGATCACACCCAAACTGCGAACCTGTGTCTTCAGGGGGAGTGCGACCCCGTCTAACACAGGCTGTAATCCAATACCCTGTTCGGACTTACACAATAATATAACTGCTAAGGCACATATGACTTACTTATTATTATTGTTTATACCCTGCTTTCCATGTTTAGGCAGTCTATATGACAATAGAGTTAGATTCCACCTGAGCCAGGCAGGAAGACACCATCAAAGCCCTCCTGACAGATGGCCAGGCAGCCTCTACTGAGAAACCCCCAAAGAAGGAGCCTCCAATTGACTCCTATTATTATTATTATTATTATTATTATGCTTGTTTATACCCCATTTTCTCTCTCCAGGCAATTGATATGACCATAGAGTTAGACTCCAATCTGAATCAGGCAGAAAGACACCACCAAAGCCCTCCCGATAGATGGCCATGCAGCCTCTACTGAGAAACCTACAGAGAATGAGCCTCCAATAGACTTTTATTATTATTGTTTATACCCTATATGACACTAGAGTTAGACTGCACTCTGCGTCAGACATGAAGACACCATCAAAGCCCTCCCAGCAGATGGCCATGCAGCCTCTACTGAGATACCGCCAAAGGAGCCTCCAATAGACTAATAATAATAATAATAATAATAATAATAATAATAATAATAGTCTATTGGAGGTTCTCTAGGCAGTCCATATGACATCTGGGTCAGGCAGGAAGACACCATCAAAGCCCTCCCAGCAGATGGCCATGCAGCCTCTACTGAGATACCTCCAGAGAATGAACCTCCATTATTATTTTTGTTTTCAATTGGAGGTTCTCTAGGCAGTCCATATGACATCTGGGTCAGGCAGGAAGACACCATCAAAGCCCTCCCAGCAGATGGCCATGCAGCCTCTACTGAGATACCTCCAGAGAATGAACCTCCATTATTATTTTTGTTTTCACCCTGCTTTCCCTCTCTAGGCAGTCCATATGACACTAGAGTAAGACTCCACCTGAGCCAGGCAGGAAGACACCATCAAAGCCCTCCTGACAGATGGCCATGCAGCCTCTACTGAGAAACCTCCAAAGAAGGAGCCTCCAAATAGACTCCTATTATTATAATTATGTTTGTTTATACCCCTCTTTCCCTCTTTAGTTGGGAAGACAGAAACTCCCCCAGAGCCATGCAGTGTCAATTCTAACCAGGCCCGAGAAGCCCTCCCGACAGATGGCCAGGCGGGTGCCGCTGCTTCGAAGGAGGAGGGGGTAGGCGGTGGGAGGAGCCCCCTCTTGCCCGGGCTGGGGAAGGAAGGAAGGAAGGAAGGAAGGGAAGAAGGGAAGAAGGGAAGCAAGGAAGGGAAGGAGGAAGCAGCCCTTCCCTCCCTTCCCTCCCTTCCCTCCCTTCCTCGTTGGGCTGGCTTCCTCTTCCGCTGCGGGCTGCTCCAGTTCCCAATGTCGGAGGCGGGCGGCAAGGGCAGCAGCATCATCCTCAGCCATGGCGGCCTGTGCTGGGCCTCGCTCTTCTCCTGCCTGGGCCTGGCCTGCGCCTACGTGGGGAGCCTCTACGTCTGGAAGAGCCACCTGCCCAGGTGAGAGAGACACAGACAGAGAGAGACAGAGGGAGAGAGAGATGCTTCTCCCTTGGGTCTTGGCCAGGCCTGGGCCAACTGGGGCCCTCCGGGTGTTTTGGACTCCAACTCCCACCATTCCTAACAGCCGGTAGGCTGTTAGGAATGGTGGGAGTTGGAGTCCAAAACACCCGGAGGGCCCCAGTTGGCCCAGGCCTGCTTCATCGTGGTTGGAATAGTTGCCCTCTTTTGAATTGTTGCTTTGTTTACAGACAGTTTAGGCGCTCTGTTTACAAACAGGCAGCCCCCAAGTTGCAACCAGGAGAGGCTCTGGAGTTTGGCTCCTAAATGGAATTTGTAATAGAAGTTGGGAGAGGTACATTTTAAGGGTAACTGCAAGCAATATATATATGTATGTATGCCTGATATGTATACATGTGTGTGTGTGTGTGTATGCATGCCTGGTATATGTGTGTGCCTGGTATATAGATAGATAATTAGATAGATAGATGCCTGATATTTTTGTGTGTGTGTGTGTATATGTGTGTCTGGTATGTAAATATATATATGCCTGGTATATGTATATGCCTGATGTGTATATACCTAATATATGTGTGTGTCTGGTCTATATACGCCTGGCATATGTGTGTGCCTGGTGTGTATATATATATGTGTGCCTGGTATATAAATATATATGTGCCTGGTATATGTGTGTGCCTGGAGTATATGCTTGGTATATGTGTGTGCCTGGTATGTGTGTGTGTGTGTGTGTGTGTATATATGCCTGGTATATGTGTGTGCCTGGTGTATGTATGTATGTGTGTGTGTGTGTGTGTGTGTGTGTGTGTATATATATATATATATATATATATATATATATGCCTGGTATATGTGTGTGTGTCTGGTAGATAGATAGATAGATAGATAGATAGATAGATAGATAGATAGATAGATAGATGGATATGTTTGTGTCTGGTGTATATGTCTGGTATATGTGTGTGCCTAGTGTGTTTGTGTGTGTGTGTATATATATATATATATGCCTGGTATATGTGTGTGCCTGGTGTGTATGTATGTATGTATGTATGTATATGTATGTGTGTTTTATTTTTATATATATATATATATATATATATATATATATGCCTGGTATATGTGTGTGTGTCTGGTATATAGATAGATAGATAGATGACTGGTATATGTGTGTGCCTAGTGTATGTATGTGTGTGTGTGTGTGTGTGTGTGTGTGTATGTATGTATGTATGTATGTATATATATATATATATGCCTGATATTTGTGTATGCCTGGTGTATATATGCCTGGTATATGTATGTGCCTGGTATATATATATATATATATATATATATATATATATGCCTGGTATATGTGTGTGCCTGGTATATAGATAGATAGATTGATAGATAGATGCCTGATATTTGTGTGTGCCTGGTGTGTGTGTGTGTGTGTATATATATGTGTGCCTGGTATATAAATATATACATGCCTGGTATATGTATATGCCTGATATATATATATATATATATATATATATACGCCTAATATATGTGTGTGTCTGATCTATATATGCCTGGCATATGTGTGTGCCTGGTGTGTGTGTGTGTGTGTGTGTATATATATATATATATGTTTGATATATATGTGTACCTGATATATATATATATAGAGAGAGAGAGAGAGCAGGCATGGGCAAACTTGGGCCCTTATGCACACATGCATACATACTAGCTGTTAGGAATTGTGGGTGTTGAATCCAAAATACCTGGAGGGACCAAGTTTGCCCAGGCCACAATGTTTGATATTGTTGTCCTTCTGTCATATGGTTTGACATTGTTGCTCTTTTGCATTGTTGCTTTGTTTACATACAGGCAGCCCCCAAATTGCAAACAAGATAGGTTCTGTAGTTGGGATAGGTACTTTTTAAGTGGAACTCCAGGCAATATAGATGTGTGTATCCCTGTTATATGTGTATGCCTGGTGTATGTGTGTGTGTGTGTATATATATATATATATATATATATATATATATATATACATACATACATACATACACTAGGCATGGGCAAAAAGGTGCTTCTCACTAATCAGGACGTTATATTTCCATCTCCTGCTACAGTCAATCTTCTTTCATAGGTTTCAAATCTAGAAAACTCCACGGAAGGCAACCTAAGTAATGTTTCGAACCATAAGGGTTAATAAATACAAAACAACAACAAAATAAATAATAAGTATAATAATAATAATGATCGCCCCACTGGGGTATCTCCTTCCAGGGATCACCCAGCAGTTATCAAGCGTCGATTCACCAGCGTCCTTATTGTCTCCATCCTCTCGCCATTCTTCATCTGGGTCTGGAAAGAGGTGACTGGAATTAAGGTGAGACCGATGCCCACTTTGCTCAAGGCAACACCTCGCTACTTAAATGGAAGTGTGCCGTCACACCCAGACCCTATAAAAATTAAAAGTAAGATGTGCTTCTCTCTTTGTCTGGGCGGCCCGCTGAGGTCTTTCTTTAGAAGCTTGAGATTCCCAGCAACTGAGGCTACTACAGGTTTTGAACACCAAAACAGAATATTTATTTCTCAAAGTCCTTGCAGACTTAGTACAGCTTGTCAAAGTTACAAACAAAACAGTCAGTTGGTGAAACCATAGAGATGATTCAATGTATTGTCGAAGGCTTTCATGGCCGGAATCACTGGGTTGTTGTAGGTTTTTTCAGGCCCAAAAAAACCTACAACAACCCATAGAGATTATCTTTCTTTCCTTTCCTTCAGTTACTGAGGTAACTTTTCCCCAAATGGTAGAAAAAAATCCTGGGATCTTTTCACCCTAACCCTGAGCTGTTATTGTTAGAAAAAATAGGTTTTTTTCCCCTATCTATAGCTCAAGGTTAGCTTTGGAGAAAGGAGTCCAAACCCGCAATTTCATCTAAGAATTGCTGTAGCTGCCCCGCCGCTGTCCGTTCAATCACCGTGCCTAAAAACGGAAGGTTTGAAACTGGGCAATAGTTACTAGGTATGGCGGCATCTAGGCTTGGTTTTTTCAAGAGAGGGTGGACCACTGCTTCTTTAAGGCAATCTTGAAAAATTCCTTGCTCCAAGGAACTGTTGATGATGCTCCTTAAGGGATCTCGTACTCCCTCCCAGCACTCCTTAACCAACCGGGAGGGGCAAGGATCGAGGGAGCAGGTGGTTGGTCTTGCTGCAGCTAGAGTCTTTTCCAAGTCTTCCATTTCTAATAACACAAAATGTTCAAGATGTTGGCCACTAGATGGCTTTCTTTCTTTTTCCTTCAGTTACTGAGGTAACTCTTCCCCAAATGGTAGAAAATATCCTGGGATCCTTTCACCTTAACCCTGAGCTGCTATGGTTAGAAAAACAGGTTTTTCCCTATCTATAGCTCAAGGTTAGCTTTGGAGATGAAGTACTGCTCAATAATATTCAATAACTCAATATCTAAAAATATATATTGTCGAAGGCTTTCATGGCTGGAATCACTAAGTTCTTGTGGGTTTTTTCGGGCTATAGGGCCATGTTCTAGAGGCATTTCTCCTGACGTTTCGCCTGCATCTATGGCAAGCATCCTCGGAGGTAGTGAGGTCTGTTGGAATTAGGACAATGGGTTTATAGATCTGTGGAATGGCTGGGGTGGGGCAAAGAGCTCTTCTCTGCTGGAGCTAGGTGTGAATGTTTCAACTGACCACCTTCATTAGCATTTGAAGGCCTGGCTGAGTCTGGGAAAATATTTTGCTGAGAGGTACTACTAAGCTGCTAGGTTCTTGTGGGTTTTTTTCGGGCTATAGGGCCATGTTCTAGAGGCATTTCTCCTGACGTTTCGCCTGCATCTATGGCAAGCATCCTCAGAGGTAGTGAGGTCTGTTGGAAATAGGACAATGGGTTTATATATCTGTGGAATGGCTGGGGTGGGGCAAAGAGCTCTTCTCTGCTGGAGCTAGGTGTGAATGTTTCAACTGACCACCTTCATTAGCATTTGAAGGCCTGGCTGAGCCTGGGAAAATCTTTTGTTGAGAGGTGTTAAGATGTGCCTGGTTAGGTTCTTGTGGGTTTTTTCGGGCTATAGGGCCATGTTCTAGAGGCATTTCTCCTGACGTTTCGCCTGCATCTATGGCAAGCATCCTCAGAGGTAGTGAGGATGCTTGCCTACCTCTGAGGATGCTTGCCATAGATGCAGGCGAAACGTCAGGAGAAATGCCTCTAGAACATGGCCCTATAGCCCGAAAAAACCCACAAGAACCCATTCACACCTAGCTCCAGCAGACAAGAGTCCTTTGTTCCACTCTGGTCATTCCACAGATAGCCCGAAAAAACCCACAAGAACCTAGTGATTCCAGCCATGAAAGCCTTCGACATGTGCCTGGTTGTTTCCTCTCTGCTGTTTTGCTGTTGTAATTTTAGAGTTTTTTAATACTGGTAGCCAGATTTTGTTCATTTTCATGGTCTCTTCCTTTCTGTTGAAATTGTCCACATGCTTGTGGATTTCAATGGCTTCTCTGTGTAGTCTGACATGGTGGTTGTTGGTGTGGTCCAGCATTTCTGTGTTCTCAAATAATATGCTGTGTCCAGGCTGGTTCATCAGATGCTCTGCTATGGCTGACTTCTCTGGCTGAAGTAGTCTGCAGTGCCTTTCATGTTCCTTGATTCGTGTTTGGGCAATGCTGCGTTTGGTGGTCCCTATGTAGACTTGTCCACAGCTGCAAGAGCTGGAAGAGACCATGAAAATGAACAAAATCTGGCTATCAGTATTAAAAAACTCTAAAATTACAACAGCAAAACAGCAGAGAGGAAACAACCAGGCACATCTTAACACCTCTCAACAAAAGATTTTCCCAGGCTCAGCCAGGCCTTCAAATGCTAATGAAGATGGTCAGTTGAAAAATTCACACCTAGCTCCAGCAGAGAAGAGCTCTTTGCCCCACCCCAGCCATTCTACAGATATATAAACCCATTGTCCTAATTCCAACAGACCTCACTACCTCTGAGGATGCTTGCCATAGATGCAGGCGAAACGTCAGGAGAAATGCCTCTAGAACATGGCCCTATAGCCCGAAAAAACCCACAAGAACCTAGACCAAATATTACTCGATCACTCAATTGCTATTCTATCTCTCTGTCTCAATTAGCTTCTTTATCTATATAACTCAATCGTACTTACAATTATTTGTTTCAGAGCTACCTGCCTGACCAACAGCACATCTGAAGCTTCCTTTCTCTACTGAAGGAGGCAGGGGAGATTCCAAAATGGAGATCTCAACCCAGGAAAAAAGGTGGTCCCTAGACCCAAAGAAATATTTTTCTAAACCAATAACTGCAAAAAGGGCCTGCAGGCTGGCTTTCCAGACTCTGATACTGTTTAACTTCCAGGGTGCTGCTGGGTCTGTAGCAGCTCGGGGAAATGCAAAGGAACGCTATCCCATGCAGCTAAAAGGCAATGCAAACGATGCTCCTGGAAGACGGAACAGGAGGTGTCAGGCCTCAGTGTGCGTGCACGCCTCTGGGATTATTAACTGAAAACTTGGGCAAAACAAAATTAAAATGGGAATTTGAGAATTTTAATTATTTAAGGTGTCCAATCTAGGATAAATGGTTTCCTAAAGGGCAATAAAACTGGTTCCAGCAGGGAAAAGCATGTAAATAGTGCACAGAAGCGTATCAACAAACCAGTTCTACTAGTTTATATGGCCGCCCGAAGAAGGCCTTGGGTAAGCTTAATAGCTGCGAATTCTCTGCTCAAAGGCAAGCCACCATAAAGAGTAATTATAGTAATAAGACTTTATTTATATTCCACCCTATCTTGGCCTCCGAGTCCCTGTTGGGGGAGATGGTGGCGGGGTATAAATAAAGATTATTATTATTATTATTATTATTATTATTATTATTATTATTATCTCCCTGAGCAGAGACTCAGGGGTGGACTCCGACAAACAAAAAGGTAAACATTCCAAGTCTCAATACAATGCTTCAGGAGGATAATAATTTTACAATAAGAGATTAAGCACTATTTTGCCAGGTTGTCTTTTGATCTGCCCACTCTGCTCTGAGTCTATTCAGAAACTTCCATTCTTGGTTTGCCCCTGGAGGAAAACCCTCTCTCATGGGGGGTCATCCAGTTGGGATTTCCAGGTTGAGCTGCCCAGAGGGATACCCTTGCTGTTGCTGAGGGGAGGCCAATAGACGTGGTAGTTCTCATAAAGCTTTCCCTTGATTTGAGTCTCCTGGGAGGAGGCTGGTAGCCATGTGGCTTTCACAGTGTTCAACGTTATTTCTCTCACATTTAGCAGCAACTTCCCGTCACACATCGGGGGGGGGGGGGCAATGCCAGTTAGCTTGTAGAGTTTATCAATAGGCGTAGGTTTAAGACATCCTGTGATTATTTTGCTTGTTTCGTTCAATTAGAGTTTATTAACAGGTGTAAGTTTAAGACATCCTGTGATTATTCTGCATGTTTCATTCAATGAGAGTTTATTGAGAGGTGCAGGTTTAAGACATCCTGTGATTATTCTGCATGTTTCATTCAATGAGACTTTATTGAGAGATGCAGGTTTAAGATATCCTGTGATTATTCTGCATGTTTCATTCAATGAGAGTTTATCAAGAAGTGTAAGACATCCTGTGATTATTCTGCATGTTTCATTCAATGAGAGTTTATGAAGAGGTGTAGGTATAAGACATCCTGTGATTATTCTGCATGTTTCATTCAATGAGAGTTTATCGAGAGATGTAGGTTTAAAACATACTGTGATTATTTTGCATGTTTCATTCAATGAGAGTGTATCAACAGGTGTAGGTTTAAGACATCCTGTGATTATACTGCATGTTTCATTCAATGAGAGTTTATCAAGAGGTGTAGGTTTAAGACATCCTGTGATTATTCTGCATGTTTCATTCAATGAAAGTTTATCAACAGGTGTAGGTTTAAGACATCCTGTGATTATTCTGCATGTTTCGTTCAATGAGAGTTTATCAAGAGGTGCAGGTATAAGACATCCTGTGATTATTCTGCATGTTTCATTCAATAAGAGTTTATCAGCAAGTTTAGGTTTAAGACATCCTGTGATTATTCTGTGTGTTTCATACAATGAGAGTGTATCAACAGGTGTAGGTTTAAGGCATCCTGTGATTATTCTGCATGTTTCGTTCAATGCGAATTTATCATCAGGTGTAGGTTTAAGACATCCTATGACTATTCTGCATGTTTCATTCCATGAGAGTTTATCAACAGGTGTAGGTTTAAGACATCCTGTGATTATTTTGCATGTTTCGTTCAATGAGAGTTTATCAAGAGGTGTAGGTTTAAGACATCCTGTGATTATTCTGCATGTTTCATTCAATGAAAGTTTATCAACAGGTGTAGGTTTA